GTTAGCTGGGAGTATGTTAGAGCAGCTAACCAAATGAAGAGAATGCAAGCCCTCTAACGCTGAAAACCTTCTTTCTCTTGTAGAGAAAGTTGGTTTATGCAATGTTAAGGCTAAAGCTTGCCCAAATGAAATAAGTCTCTAACAAGTTAAATGAAATGTTTTTTTGCAATGCATGAAGTTATGTTAGAGTTTCTAAGCATAAGAAGCTTAGATTAGTGCTTCTGTGAACAGTAACACTTTGTTAGTGCAACTAAGCAAATGAAGAGAATGCAAGCCCTCATATGCTGAAAACCTTCTTTCTCTTGTAGAGACAGTTGGTTTATGCAATGTTAAAGGTAAAGCTTGCCCAAATGAAAGACGTTTCTGGCATTTGAATAAAATGTTATTTGCCATGCAGAAAGACAGATATGAATGTGTTAGGAGATTTATACTCACGAAGTTATGTTAGAGTTTGTAAGCCCCAAAAGCTTAATTAATGCTCCTTTGAACAGTAACAGTATGTTAGAGCAGCTAAGCAAATGAAGAGAATGCAAGCCCTCATACGCTGAAAACCTTCTTTCTCTTGTAGAGAAAGATGGTTTATGCAATGTTAAGGCTAAAGCTTGCCCAAATGAAAGATGTTTCTGGCATGTGAAATAAAATGTTATTTTCCAATGCAGAAAGACAGATTTGAATGTGTTAGGAGTTTTATGCTCATGAATTTATGTCAGCAATTCTAAGCATAAAAAGCTTAGATCAGTGCTTCTGTGAGCAATAACACTATGTTGGTGCAACTAAGCAAATGAAGCCAATGAACGCCCTCATATGCTGAAAACCTTCTTTCTCTTCTAGAGAAAGTTGGTTTATGCAATGTTAAGTCTTAAGCTTGCCCACATGAAAGATGTTTCTAACATTGTCAAATTAAATGTTTTTTCCAATGCAGAAAGACAGATTTGAATGTGTTTGGAGTTTTTTGCTCATGAAGTTATATTAGAGCTTCTAAGCACAAGGAGATTAGTTTAGTCCATCTGTGAACAGTAACACTTTGTTAGTGCAACTAAGCAAATGAAGAGAATGCAATCCCTCATACGCTGAAATCCTTCTTTCTCTTGTAGAGAAAGTTAGTTTATGCAATGTTAAGGCTAAAACTTGCCCAAATAAAATATGTCTCTAACAAGTTAAATTAAATGTTATTTCCAATGCAGAAAGTCAGATTTGAATCTGTTTACAGTTTTATGCTCATGAAGTTATGTTAGAGCTTCTAAGCACAAGAAGCTTAGTTTAGTCCATCTGTGAACAGGAACACTATGTTAGTGCAACTAAGCAAATGAAGAGAATGCAAGCCCTCATACGCTGAAAACCTACTTTTTCTTTTATGGAAAGTTAGTTTATGCATTGTTTAGACTAAAGCTTGCATACATAAAAGATGTTTCTGGCATGTGAAATAAAATGTTATTTGCAATGCAGAAAGACAGATTTGAATGTGTTAGGAATTTTATGCTCATGAAGTTATGTTAGAGCTTCTAAGTACAAGAAGCTTAGTTTAGTCCATCTGAGAACAGTAACACTTTGTTAGTGCAACTAAGCAAATGAAGAGAATGCAAGCCCTCATATGCTTAAAAAAACCTTCTTTCTCTTGTAGAGAAAGTTGGTTTATGCAATATTGAAGCTAAAGCCTGCCCAAATGAAAGATGTTTCTGGCATGTGAACTAAAATTGTATTTGCCATTCAGAAAGACAGATTTGAATGTGTTAGGAATTTTATGCTGTTGAAGTTATGTTAGCGATTCTAAGCACAAGACGTTTAGTTTAGTGCTGCTGTCTTTATAAATGAAACAAGAATTTATTGGCTATTCTAGATTACATTGACCTAAGCTAAGACATACACATACACATACACATACACATACACACACACACACACACACAAACACACACACACATCCAGTTCTGAAGAATGAAAGTTACGGAGTTTGTATGAAGTTCTCAAAGTTCTAACTCGTTTTCACGAGTGGTTTTAAATTCAAGCTGAGAGAATCACAAAGCAGAGGTTTGTCTTACGTTTACTGCTTAAATGGTTCAGCACCTATTTCAGCGGATAGAAGACCTTGTTTGTACTTGTGTTTGTCCTGGCAGCTGCAACGGGGTTTCCTCGTAGCCGGAGGGAATTCCGGAGCTGCTGGTTGGTTGCTGAGATGACGTTTGGCTGACGTAGTTTCTGGGAATGTCCTCGGCGGTGATTGGTTGGTTGCCGGGTTGCGGAGGAGCCTCGAATTTCTTCTGAGAGAGTCTGCTTCAGCAAGACTTTGCATTCTGCAGAGTTACGAAGCTTCAACGGAGTAGTTGAGTTCTAGATGGTCGATCGCCTGATGGTTCAGCTTGTGAGCACAAGATAAGAGTGCTCTCCACACGGCGACAAGGCTTTGCTCGGGAGAGCAAGTGGCGAAGAGCCTGCGTTCGGGAGAGCAAGCGGCGAAAAGCCTTCACTCGAGAGCGTAAGCAGCGAGTAGCATTGAATCTGTGTTGCAGTGGGGTTTTGACCTGCGGCACAAGTCCGTCCCACGGCGCGCTCTTCCAATCGACTTGATGCAAGGCGGGGCGTGCATACCTTAACA